AATACTTTCTGTTAGGTTTCCACTGGAGATCATAAAAGCAATTGCAAGCTGGGGAGAACAGATAAGCACCAAATGCAGAGAAGTACAGGGGAAAACAAGGACAGTTCAGGATGCAACCGGCCAAGATGCCTCTTGGCCTTGATGGCCGTCGTGATGGGTATGTCCTGGACCTTCCCCAGGATGCCATTAGGATGTTCCTTTTAAGGGCCAGCGACTCCTGAACATCTCCCCTTGGTTTTGCATAGCTGGCTTGCCCCTGGGTCTGTGCAGCAGTAAGATCAAGGCAAAGGAGCTTTGGAATCTGAAGGAGAGGGTACCTGCCATCCATTGTTCTCTGAACACCAGAAAACCACGTTTTCCCTTTTCCCTCCCACTCCCCACCTTCCTCAGCAGGAGACTCTAGAGGGTGCAGAGAGCCAGTACCAAGCCTGCAGGAAGTGAGGGCCTGGGGTATGAGCATTGCCATTCAGGGGTCCTGGTTTTGAGTGGTTCGAATAGTAGGATGCTTTGTGATATCATGGAGTGTGAGCTATGGAGTCGCAAAGGTCTGGGGTCAAACCCCCAGATCAGCCACTTGCTGGGTATGTGATTTGGGACAAGGTATTTGATTTCTGCCTACCTCCTTTACCAGCTGCCTGGCCTTAGGCTTGGTACTTACCCTCAGTTTCCTTTTCTCTGAAATCGGAATGATGTAACTTACCTCTCAGTACTAGCGAGTGTCCTTTTCCCCTCTCCTGCCTCTCCTCTTCCTGCTACCCTTCTGTTTGGCCTACTAAATATAATAGAAGTATCAAGAAAGAAAAGACTATATCATAGTATTTCCAGATTTTATTTACTCTTAACCCTTTAGAAAATTCTGCCATCACTCACCAGTCAGTCAATTGGCTGGATTATTTAATGAGCTTGGGCTATTTGCACCAGTGCACCAGGCATGGTGCTGCCTCTAGAGGAACCAACCTGCCATTAGATTTGACCAAATAAATGTGCATTAAAAGATTAGTAACATTACTTTCACATGCTGGTTAAAGGATTCTGCTTCCTTACAGCGTCTGCCATCTGAGAGTTTGCAGTCTGGCTAAGGAAAATAATACCCATCCTCAGG